TTCACCTATTGTGAGTAGTTCGACGAGTAATCAAATCAAAGTCACTTTTCATAGTTTATTTTATGAGTTGTCCTTGTCACCGATATGTTATGTTTTTAGGCAATACAATGTTTTGCAAACCGTTTCTTATTATCATCAGTATGCTATATTACCAAAGGTCTTAAAACATAGATTGTGACTATCATGCATACTTCATAGTGGAATTCAGTACGTGTTAAAATGTCTTCATATATTGAGTAAACAAACTTGTCAAAAGGTCCTAGGTTTCCGTAAACCTTACAAGGATAACTATTCTTGCAAAGAATAACGTGCATAGTTTTTTAACCATTATTAGTTTGAATGTTACGGTTCCCTATAACTTTACTAATACCCTGGTTTTCCGCATATAACCTAACATAGGATTACAACTTCCGTGTTCAATACCCTCTATTTTCCGTTTAATTGTTGATCGGTTATAAATTTGAGAAGCAAAGAGGCTATTTATTAGCTATGGTTTAAACTTCATCAAGTATTACATCGTCTTATCACAATTGATTGATCACTGGGTGGTAATCAATGTCATGTGTGTCAAGTCCTTATTTAGTCTAGGTGACTCGACACTGAGTGCACTATATATTGAGATGGTTGGACAGGACTTGACACACATGACATTGATCACCACCCAGTGATCAATCAATTATGATTACATCTCAGTCTTACAGGAGGTCAGTCGCAGCCCGGATAGCTCAGTGCTAACATCTCTGACTGTGAAGCTGGGTGACATGGGATAGAATCCACCGGGGAACACCAGGTTCCTCAAGATTACAGATACACGTTGAGGAGTGCTAAGTAGATGCTCACTGCTAAGGAGTTTAATACTAGAACGAAACTACCGTCCAGTGCATCCAGGTTTTCCGTGGTGGTCTAGTTTTCATTGACTCATGAATTTAACTATTAAATTACTACAATCTCCACCAAAAAACCCCCTTCTGATCATTATTTAGATTAGTTAATCTATTTACTAGTTTATTAGATCAATTGAAAGGTGTCTATAACATCATCTTGATGTTGTTATTGTTATTGTCTATATTGACCTTGACTCCTAATAGAATAAATCTATGTAACTTATATACGCATATATATAACAAATTAATTATGTAACTTTCTACTTGATTCCATTGTTTATTTAAGTAGTTAACTAATTATTCATTAATTTTACAAGGGGTTTTGTGGATACTATAATAATTTCAATAGTTGAGATCATGAGTCAATTCCCGTTAGACCATCATGGAACATCTGGAAGAACTGGACGGCTGTTTCTTCCTGCTGTGGGACTCCACAGCAGTGCGTATCCACGATATCGCCTCGCGAGATTCATTAATGAACTAACCAACCAATTGATTCATTGAAATGACATCACTTCACTGGACTAACTGATTGTTAATTAGTCAACAATGAAATAATCATTGAACAGTACACACACACACACTCTCTCTCTCACTTCATTTACATATTAGATTGAATGAATGCAAATTTACGTTTAATCGAAACTAGTCACTTGTAAATATACAGCAGTGGCATTACTACTACTCATAATATATGATATTGACTATCATTCGACTAATTTCACAATAACATAGTCAATGTGTTGACATAACAGTTACACTATAGAAACTGACTCATAGTTAAATTGAACTGAGGTTATGTGAATAAATTTAGTGAAATAATTGAAAACAAAGAAGGCGAAGAAGAAGAAGTAAAAGGCAAGGAAACAGAACATTTTTCGAACTTATCGTTTATCATTATGTATAACACCGATTAGTAAATCGAAGAATGACAAATACATGCAAACACATATGTGTGTGTGTGTGTATTCGCATTCGGTGTGTGGAGAAGATTTGTAGCTCAAGTGGATGATTTTGGTGGAGTTTTCTTCTCTCAAAATCATATGAGCGTAACACGCTTCTCGTTGTTCAAAAATGGGAGAATTTCGCCAAAAAGCAGGCTTCCACTCAAGAACAACTATATTTTCTCCATGACACAACCAAACCATCTAGCTCAGAGAACAAAACTCCACCAAAAAACATTCGTTGTGTGCATTTTGTATGAATTGACGACATTTGCAGAATAATTAAAACTGAGTGTTTAAGAAAGCGTAGAGATGGGCATGGATGTCATTACATGTAACTGAATCCTGAATTTCTATGTACTGGTTCTACTGTGGTGAACCAGAACACAAATGAGGACAATCGAACGTATTTGAACACAAAATGATAGAATAACTTAGTAAAAATCTGAGAACCATACGTAAATACTACGTTTGCACAATGTCAATCAATCGTCTCAGACTTCATTGTTCTTTCTTATCCACACTAATCATTGTCTGTTCATGTTCTCATTTCTTTGATCTTCTTAAATATCTGCCTTCATGCATTTCAGTTTCGAACGATGATACATACTACTTATATCTGTCAACATCAGTAGCATACATATCATTATATACTATATTATCCAACCACTAATCATATGTTATCGGTGTTTTTTTCATATCTTTCTCAATAGAAATTCGTCATAACCTACAAAACTCAATAAGATGTAAAAGAACAAATTTATGCTATTTAGTTCAAATCTTTCTTCGTATCGCCTTCATAATGAAAAAGAGAACTATTTGTATGTAACTGGTGATAGTATTACGGTGTGAACTACTTATACAGACAGACAAGTAATATGTAGCAGGTATTGGAAGTGGAATGCTTACCAATAGATGAGTGAAATAAAGAGAAGAAGAAAGAAAATGAAGAACAATCGGAATAACAACAGGATTGAAAGAATGGTGAAGTAGGCAAAGGACAGCTTAATGAAGATGTGCAAATAATGTATTCTTTCACTAGTATTCCTGACCTTTCTACTTTTGTTTATCTTAAGTGATTACAAATAAAAATATCCCAATGAGTAGAGAAATGAGATTTTCTGACGTTTCGTAACTTAGTGTAAGTCACTTCTTCAGAGAATAAATAACCAAATTAAAATTAATCCAAGTTTAAATAGTACAACGGAACAATGCAAGAATAATATTTGATCAATCAAAAAACAGGTCTGAACAAGTTGATGTTATGTCATTTCTGTCAAGGTGATTCATAAGTGATATGTGCATTGTTTAAGAATGAAAACTTGTGTGACCTTTATGGTAAGAAAGGATAGAGTTTAATTTGTGAGATGATCGTGTGAAATTGTAAATACGATCAGACTGAATGGTTAGGACAGATGGTCCAATTAGGATGTATGGTAAGACCTTCCTTTCTGTTGAGAGAAGTAAGATTAAGCATTATATGGAACGCTTCAGCTACCCTCCTTTCTTTGTAGTTGGAAAAGCCTTTTTGCAATATTTTGATATTTTTAAAATCTATTTGGTGGTTGTTGAAAATGGCATGAACTGCTATTGCCGATTTAATTTGAAGTTGGTTCAATTCTACGGGACTGTTAGGAGGTTTCTTTGTGTACCCAATATGTTCTTTGGCTCTAGTCACGATTTCGCGGGATGACTCTCCAATATAATAGGCATCACAATCGATACAACCTAATTTGTAAACGCAGTTCTGTGTGGACATGAAAGGGATTTTTTCTTTCAGGCGAACTAAAGTATTACGTAGTGTGTTCGTTGTTTTGTAATACACTTTAATTCTATGGTGTTTTAAGATTCTTTGAATTTCTTCTGTTGTGCCATGACGGTATGGTAGAACTACAGTACCAATCCATGGCATTTCATTCGAAACCTTATTATAATGTAATAAATTGTTTTGTTTTAATATGCTTCTAATAATCTTCATAGGAAAATTATTAAATTGTAAGATGCTAACTATATTCATTTGTTCTTTTTGTTTGTCTTCCTCTGATGTGATGATCTTGTTAGCTCTTCTAAAAAGATTTAAGGCTAGCGAGATCTTTGCACTGAAAGGATGTGCTGAATGGAAGTCAATATAACGATTTGAATGTGTCAGTTAGTTACTCAATGAAGCTGTTTGTGAAGGATAATTTTCAGATTTGGTTGTAACTATCTAAGTTATTAACATTTGAAGCTAGATAATTGAATCGAATCGAAGTGTGATTATCAACAGTGGGATGTAAGTACAATCACTTTGCAATTTTCAACACACATAAACCATGAGCCTTAAATTCATTTTTTAGCCATTATCCAAATATACGTTAAGACTGATTATAGTAGTGACTATTAATGGAATTTAGAATGTGTTTTTCGTTTTACTTGGTACTTGTCATGTGGTTTTACATCTGCTAGTTACTTTCATATTTGACTTAAAAGTACTTATGAATTAACTTCATTATCAAGAGTATCCACTCAGAATGTACATATTCCATAAAACAAATTTTTATTCATTTATCTATTTGAACACCGAATACATATACTCCATATAAGTCACTTCATATGAGTATGAGGTATGGTACTGCTCGGGTCCCCAAACCGAAGCAAATGGTTATGTTAGGAGGCCACACGTGGCGCCCTCGACCTAATGGTCTGACCCACAAGTCAGTGCAGTAACATCAGGAGATACATTCCCATGGTAGCTGGTGGCCAACACTATGTTCATGCACCATTTGTTTCCTTAGGATTCTGCAGCCAATGAGTAACAATGGTTTGGAATCAAGGTTTTCCAACTCACATAGGTGGACCTTCCATGTCCACCAACCCGGTTAGATCTCTGGACATTCACCTTTCATCCTCTCATTTCCGTAAACAACTGTAATGCAGCGAGAAGTCAATGAGTATGACTTCCCTGTTAGTGGATGTATACGCGTAGCTATTTGAGAGCATTTTGAGAGAGAGAGAGAAAGACAGAGAGATAGCTGACTCTCCCCACCCTCAGACTTACCAAGTTATTTCGGGGCTAAAACAAACTGATAAACTATAGTTCATAACATAAACAACAAAAATGAAATTTAAAAAATAGACTTAGTTTCATCTATATATAGACAAATTTATGGTAAAATCTATCCACGTCACTTACTATTTTCACATAGCAACAAATCAATCTCCATAGTTGATAAAGTTTTACATTTTTTCAGCCTATTTAAATTACGTTTTAATAATAAACTTTTATCCTTATTATTATTATTGTTACATTTCGATAATATTGATGATAAAATATTCGAATTTTTTTCTTTTTTATTTATAATTGACATATTAGAAGACAAGGATGTAAAGTATTTCAATGAATCATTAAGTGGATCATGACTTGTACATATTGGATAGATATCAGACATTGATAATTCACGTTGTTGTTGTCGTTCTCGTTGCTGCTGGTGCTGTTCTCGTTGTTGGTGTTGTTCTCGTTGTTGTTGCTGTGCTCGTTGTTGTTGATGATGATGATCATCATCACCATCAATAGTTAACCAACTTTTATCTAAATCTGATTGTTTTATAATATCATTAACAAATTTGGATACAGTCATATTTTCATCATTTATTTCATCAAGATTAGTTATTTTTTGATAAGATTTATTCTGATCCTCATCATCATCCTCATCATCATCATCATTTAAACTTAATGAACTCAATGAAATCGATTGTTGTAATGATGAAATATCACCGATTGATTTGAAAGTTTGTACATTGATCATGTCATTTCTGTTGGATGAAATTTCTTTTAAGGTATGATATTGTTTTGTATATGAATTATGTGAATAAGAAGAATAAGGTGTAATTATTTCTCTTGTAGGTATAACAGTTAATGTCGTTGATTTATGTTGATGCTTGTTGCTATGGTTAATTTTGATATAATTTTTAAATTGTTTCATTGTCCAATTCTTTTTATCATGATGATGATGATGATCATTAGATTTTGATGATGTAATCTGTTGACAAGGTAATAGATTATCATTCAATGTTTTATGTTGAATGGTTAATATTGATTTTGATGGTTTATCCATAGATTTAGACTGAAGGGTTGAATTAGAAAAATAACGTTGAATCAATTTAATACGATTGAATATTGATTGTTTTGATTTTTCATTTATTGATGAATTAGGAAGAACTTCAGTCATGATTATGAACTTGTTTGATGTTACATTGACTTAGTTAGTTACTTACTTAAGCCTATTACTCGTAATGGAGCATAAATTATGATGATTTATGTTTGAATTGTATGAATCAATATTAGATACTGTGATGAAACGTAATTGTTGGGGGGAGTGTTTGTTTTGAAGATCAAAGTTGTACGTTACCATGTAACTAAGGCAATCAGTGATTGAATGTTAAAGTAATTGTCTATTTATCAGTTATACTTTAAGAAGATTTTACGATTGATTAGCTAATGGAAAGAAAAACAATAAAAGAAATGATAAGTTATTGATCATTCATGAACAAGATATTTTAAAGGAAAAATGAATCCAACTAAGTTGATTAGATACTACCTGACAATATACAAGTTGAAGCATTGAAGTTACACATAGACATAACTACAAATATGCGCCATATTCTATTCAAGAAGATTTGGAAGGACGAGCATATGTCACAGACAGACTAGAAAGATACCACAAAGAAAAGAACATCTGAGCAAGTATGTAGACTATAGAGGCATCAAAATGCTATCAGAACCAGGAGAAGATTTTACTAGTGTCTTGGGATTAGATGAAAGATTCAGTAGACATTAAGCTTTCAGATCAACAGGCTGAATTCCGTGATAATCAGTCGGCGAAAGCCAAACGAACTTTTCGAATCCGTGCTGAGATTTCGTTAGACACTAACCTATCAGGGCTGATCAGACTTCCAAGATAAGTGAAGTCGTCAACGCGTTCGACTATTTCACTCCCTATTTTTAGTTCAGGTGCTGACGTAGACCAGTGCTGAAGCAACAATGATAAAGGAATATTTACAGTTTCTACATTAAATAAACATTGAAGACGATATTATCGTCATTTAGATAGATAGCCCTGTCCCCCTCCGTCGCCCAACACAAACATACACATACACACATTGTGTTATAATCATTTGTCAACATTATAATAGTCATAATCACACATAATCATAAACATTGTCATATTCAATTAATTTTCTTTTTTATTCATGAGAAAATATTTCAATTTTGTAACCAAGGCAACTAAAAATTTATTGATTCATTTAATTGTCAAGTAAAGTTAATGACATTACATGTGCACGTTTCTTCCGTTTTATTACACTTTGACGTTTATTGTAACTTATACAACAGAATTGATCATTGATTGTAGAATAGTTTTGTAAAGAAAGAAAGAAAGAAAAAGTGCTATTTGTCTTACAGTTTACTATTGCATTTTTTTAGTTGTTAATTGGCTGGAGTTAAACATCAACACTGTTGGATGACGGTTTAGTGGTCTAAAGGTTAAGCATTCAGACACGAGACCAAAGATCTTGACCTCGATTTCAGCGTGCAAGATCTTGAGTACGCATTGTTGAGGATGAAATCGTCATCCAGTGCTTTCAACTTTTTAATTCTGATCTAATATTGATCAGTTCATGATTTTAATGCTTAGGATTTCGTTAGATTTTAATCTATTATCGTTTCTATTTTTATTTATTTATTTAAACACATGAACATTGTTATAAGGAGGCACCAAACAGATATGTACCAGGGATGGGAGACTGTCCGGGTGCCCAAACTGAAACAGGCGGATTTCTTAGAGAGCCACACCCTGAGCCTTCGATCTAAAGATCTAATCCAAAAGGCAGTGGAGCAACGTCAGGAGATGCAGTTACTTGGTAGCCGGTAACCAACGATAAGTTTATACGCCATTTTTTCCATCAGGATCCTGAGCCTCGTGTACACCATCAGTGTTTTCCAACTCTACTATAGAGATCTTCCGTATCTCCCCACTCTCGGCTGTACCAGAGCATTTAGGGTCACAGGAAAAAGAAATTTAAGAATCATATCAAACTTGTGTATTGTGAATTTGTTTTACTCTGAAATCCTAAATAAGTCAGGTTAGTTGTTTGATCTAATTCATACAAAACATTTATTGCAAAGAAAGAATTAATCAGTGTTACCCCCTTTTTTTAATCAGCATTCAACTGATCAGAGGGTATAATTGAATTGAATTCAAAGTACAATGATTGAGTTGGTTAATCAATAAATTTCATTAATTTATCATTTGATTGGTATGAATGTAATTTAACTTAATTAGATTGTTTGGTTAGATTGGTAAGATCTGCAATTCTAATCTGTTTTTGATGGAATTTCGTTCTCTGAGCTGGATAGTTTGGTCGTGGAGCTTTCATCGTTCTTCTGAACGACATCATCAGCACAAACTTCAAATAGAAGTGAAGTGTTCGAATTTCGCCATATGCGTTTCATAGCTTGTTCTGTACACCTCGAGAACAAAACTCCATCGAAATCATCTACCTGAGCTAAAAATCTTCTCCACCATTCTAATCTGTGGAATTACGTTGTTCAACGGAAAGTAAACCAAACATCTTGCAGAGGGTTGAACTGATATGATGGGAAGAAAGGTTAAAAATAGATTGATGTACACATTATGATTTTCATTCAAGTTTTAATTCCATTTTTACTTCAATGTGACGATTATACAATGTAGTAGTTGTTTCTGTTTTCCCATTATGATATATTATTCTATACAACATACGATATACTTCTTTGTTTTTCCACGAAATTGAGAGGACGAAAAGAGAATATCCGACTCTTTAATCGGTTCGGTGGATATAGAGGATCCATCTAAGAGAGTTGAGCTTCAATATCCTGATGGAACAAATGACGTATGAATCGGTTGTTGTTCACTGACTACCATGGAACTGCATCTCCTGATGTTGCTCCACTGCCTTGTGAATCAGATCTTTAGATCGAAGGTTCCGGATGTGGCCCTCTAAGAAAACCACCTGTTTCGGTTTGAGCACCCGAGCAGAATCACAGTTCATTCACAAATGAAGTGACGTTTGTGGCGTATATGTAGTCAGTGCCGCTTTGTACGAATATTTATGCGTTCCACTTAATAAAAATATTAAAGATTGACCAGAATTATGCACAGCATGACATGTAGTATGTGATTTGTTATAACAGTAATTATGTTTCGTATATGTGATTTTATCCTAATGATTAATCAGAATGGATGTACGAATCAATATATAAATGGTTGTATTTCCGACTAGGGTAGTTGTCGTCTTGTTTCGGAGCTAGTAAATATTTATTTGTACTAGTCTTTGTGTTCTTACTTTCACATAAGTAACGTACTATCTTGGCCTTGTTAGTGTCACTTTAACAGTGATCATTTCACTTGATTTTGAGTATTCAATCAACTTCGCTTATGAATTGAATGACTTTATGCTTGAGAATCGAAATTTATTGTCTAATTTATTTTCGTGGAAATTTTAATAGTATAACTCATGAGTCGATCTAATCTAGACCACCAATGGGAACGTTGAATCACTAGATGGCAATCCCGTTCTGGTATAGGACTCCTCAGCAGCGCGAATCCACAATCCCACACATACGACTCGAACTTATGATCTGCGGTCTCGCATGCAAACGCTTAACTTCTAGATCACTGAGCCGTCATCCATCGGTGTTAACGTCTAACTTCAACCTATTCATGATCTTGCACAACTCTTTGTTATTTTAGTTTCAAGATATCCTACATCAATGATTAACTTCAATTAGGCAATCACTAAAAGCTGAACACTATCGATAGCTGTTTTGTTGTAATTTGATATTTCTCACGAGTCCTTAACTACACTTGTAAAAGGGATCAAACTCAAACACTTTTAGGTCTATTATAATAATCACCTGCTCACTAGTGACTGACTTCAGGAGATACTCCTGGAATTCTAGTGAGAAGCCTTTACCAGTGGAGTTCAATTAAGTTTGTTGTGAGATATCAACTCACTAAAGACAGTGGTGTACGGTGACGCAACTTCGTGGACATTAACATCGTCGGATGCCGGCTCAGTGGTGTAGCGGTTAATTGCGCGCGCGCGTAACCAGTAGGTCCTGGGTTCGAGTCTCGCGGGGTGCGGGGTCGCGGATGCGCACTGCTGAGGAGTCCCACAATAGGACGAAACGGCCGTCCAGTGCTTCAAGGTTTTCCATGGTAGTCTAGCTTCAACTGACTCATGATTTCAACCTGTGGAACTTTTAGGTCTTAGAAAGAGCATAGTACCTTCCGACTATTTATTTGTGGTTCAGTGCTTCACACTTTAAATTTCAATTAGTTCGTAATTTCAACATTTTGTCTTATTATGCTGAGCCTTGATTTCCATGTTTATCCTCATAATGAATATTCAAGACATTAACAATAAAACTGTTATTAGTTACCATGATGAAAATGAAATTTTAATACCTTTGCTTATTCTGCCTCAGTCTTACAATGTTTAACAGAATTTTCTTATCACCATTATTGAAATTATTATCATCTTCAAGATAAGCTTTAAAGATGAATCTGTCAAAAAGACAAATCTTCACTGAACCAGTTTTTATTTTATGTCTTTATGGGTATTTTACATGACTATCATGTTTATCAACTGACGATACCTATATCCTTACTGTCATTGCTAAGGAGCTCTATATTAAAACGAAATTACTGTTCACTGTTTCCTAATTTTTTTAAGGACAACTTATGGGTGACCTCGAAGAAGCTCTAAGAAGCTCAGAGAGAACCGAAGTTATTCCATCCAATCATCTTTTGGAAGAATATTCTAAAATCTCGACGTGTAACTTGCATGTCGGATAAATATTAACATCCCCTATACCATAAATGACGCTATCTGGAATAGCATTCCTTTCAATTGTCTTCTGTCTTCTTCATTTGAGAGTTGGGAGGATTCTGTCATTCGAGTGGTCAATTTATACACTGTATATCAAAGAATCTAAGTTCTAGATATAACAATTTCTCAAAGATGATTTAACTTTAAGTCAGTTCATAATATACATTTAGGTTTTTGACTGAGATCATGAATCGATTGATGCTAGACCACCATTGGAAACCTGGAAGCACTGAACGACCGTTTCGTCCTATTGTGGGACTCCTCGGCAGTGTACATCCACGATCCCGCTCGCGGGATT